CTATAAAAATTTTTTTAAAAACAGAAAACAATGAGAAAGAAATAGAACGGAACTCTATTAAAGAAAATCAGAATTTCGTTCTTTTACTCGACTATTAGTTTTTAAGTATGGCTATTTGTATCCATTGCTTACGCTAAACATAAAGAAGCAAAACTTTATTAAAATCGATAAATTGGCATTAAATCTATTATTATAAAAAAGGGGTATCATACTTTTTAAACCTGCCATTTTTATTTTAACTTTATTAACTGTCTCTAAGTTGTATGATAATGGAAAAATCGTTTTTCACTATATAAATACATGAATTATTGTGTCATTGTAAATACAAATAAAAGAACTTGCCAATTTAAAAAATCACCCATGCATGTCAGACAAGGTTTAACTGCATTTGTTGAATTTATCGCAATAAAAGGAAATGAGTGGCTTGCAGCCACTACAATAAAAGTCTTTTTGACTTCCCTTTCCTCTCTTAACAAATAAATAAGAAAATTATAAACTTGAAACTCTTTTTTTGCACAACCTTTTTTATAACCAGAATATTATAACTTGAAACATTTACTCCCTTCTAAAATTTTTAACCTTTTCACTCATTGTATGCTGTAATTTTGTCTCTTCATGCCTTCAGAAAAGAAAAAACGCGTTTTACCACCACTCCCTACAGGATTAGATTTCAATACTCCACCGAAAGATAGTTTAGTTGAAGATTTAAGATACGCGCTTGAACATGCAAAAGAATTATACTCCGACATAGCATGGGATTTTACTGTAGCACTAAACCAAACTAACATCTATGCACACAAAGGTATTATTTAATTTCCACTTAAATTTACTACGCCACTATTCGTTGACAGTGGCATTATTCACAGTTTTCGGAAAGCTCTAAAAACTAGTGACTCCGAACATTCAATTAAATTTATTTATATTATATTTAATTGAATAAATTTATATAATAAATTTGTTTTCTTTGTAAAAAAAAAAAAATTGAATGGATTAGTAAATTTTATTCTTACATTTTCGACTTATTTTTTCATTTTCTTACTATTATTATATGAATGAATCGTGACATTAATTTCAGCTATCTTGTATGCTCGAAGCTCACGCTCCTTTCAAGAACGATTCTTGAAAAATAAAGATGCAAATGGGATGTCCATACGATCAGTTCGATTATCAAACCCAGAACCAATAATTGTAAAGACTGCTGAAGACCCATTCTTTTTTCGACAGGAATTAAGGTTTTTTTATACCGGTGAAGAAGGCAGTGAAGAATTTTTAGCTGCTGTTGATACTACAGATGAGCTCGAACAGGATAAATTAAAAGAAGATTTATTATATATGCTTAAATCTAAATTATATACAGATGTTGAATTAGTCTTGGACCGCTCTGATGATATTCTTGATATTATTGAAGAAGATGAAGAAATTAAGCCTATAACAGTTCGAGCTCACAGATTCATGTTGTATACAAGATCTGAATACTTCAAAAAGATGTTTAGTTCTAATTTTATCGAGGCTCGATCATCACATGTTCACCTTGATAATAGCATTTTTACCCAAACATCACTCAATTTAATTTTGACATTTATTTATACTGGTAATCTTTCATCTCCTTCAAAACCCTTGACGTTGGAAACTTGTGAATTGGTTTGGATCGGGGCTGATTTTCTTGGTATAAAGTTACTTTGTGATGAATGTATATACAGAATTGCAGATAAGTTACATCATTTCACTTGTACTTGCGCTGAGTGTCAAGCAGTTGTACCAGGAGTTGCTGCTTTTGCAAAGCAATATGAAGTTGATATATTATGGCAAGGATGTTTGCATGTATTATCACACGGATTTGATAAAATGTGGCCTCAAAAAGCTTTCGCCGAACTTGATGAAGATACACGAGAGGAGATTCTCTTAACAGTTCTTTCCAGAATACAAAATAATAATATTATGGCTATTTTTAAAGGCTGTCGGAAGGTTTTATCGATGATTGAAATCAAAGGTATAGGATTGCCTTGGATAGAAACTATACGTGAAATGACTATGCAGGTTCAGTTGTATACTACTCAAATTTTGGTAGAAAATTTTGAACAACTTTGCGATGATGATCAAGAATTTCTGGATTGTGTAGACGGTATTGGATTTAGTTCGGATTTATTAGAGGACATGATGTATACAATAATTGAAGAAGGTTTATCTGAGCGAAATGCCGCGCGTGTATTAAAATGCATTACAGAAAAGTTATTGACTAGACAAGCAATAATGAATACGGAAAGTTTTGAAACGAAACGAGTATTAATACAAGCAAAGCAAAAGATTTTTGATTATATAAAAAAGCGATGGATTAGTGTGAAGCAAAATGGTGGTTTTAGAATATTAAGTCCATGGTTATTAGATGAATTCTCAAAAGGTAAGGAACAATCATTATTTGAGAAAATTTTTTATTCGTACTAAAAGTTACACTATAATAATCTTATTTTCTATAGAACTTGGTGTTACAAATCAAGAATTACAAGAACTCGCAGATCATAAAGATACTAAACCTAAGGTCAGAACACCAAGTATAACGAATGGTCTTTCCAAAAAATCAAGAGAACCATCACCTTCCTCTAAACCCAAAGTGGTTAAATCGATAGTCACACCACCAGAAATTGTAACAACGCCCCCTCATTCAAATACACCAATAATTTCAACAAATACAACAACAGTTTCAACAAATACAACGACAGCTTCAACAAATTCAACGACAGTTTCAGCAAATTCAACGACAGTTTCAACAAATGCAACGACGATATCAATAGAAGATACAGACACTTTAACGACAAACGTTAGTCCTAGTTCTGAGCCCGCTTCAAACGGAAATGGCTTAAGTCATTCAACGTCAAATTCATCGTCTTCCGTAAATTCAAGTTCACAATCATCTCCTTTAGCAGAATCATCGTCAGATACCACTTCAAAAACAAAAGTGACAACCAGTAATGTTACTAAAAAGGGCAAAAATGTACGTATTGGTGGAACCACAACGGGTCCTGTGTGGGCACGTCCAACTCGTGCTAGCGTATTACGTCAAAAGGCTCTCGCAGAGTCTTCCGTAAAGAATCCAGTCAAACCACGAACGAAATCTACATATTCAAAACCCGTTACCTCTGCATATGCACAATCCAAATTAACCACATCATCAACACCTAAAACAAAAACGACAACGACGACGATAACAACCACACAACCACGACCCACCTCATCTTCATCTGCGTCTAGTCTTAGAGTACCTAATGGCTCTTCGACTTCACAAAGAGGTCGGTCTACTACTAAGCAAAATGCTTCAGCTGCATCTTCTCGTGCAAGTTCAATATCATCCGTGAAATCTCTAACTTCACCTTCCGTTTCACCATCACGGTTTTCCGGTGTAAGACAAACTCGTTCTAGTTTGTTACGTAAACTTAAATATGATGACGCAGAACAACGCCGTGGTCGAGACACTGAACGTGATACTTCGCCAACATCTTCCAGAGCTAGCTCTATCGCTTCTGTTTCATCTATTACTAGTAATACTACTACTTCATCCCATCACAGGAGGAAACGTTCACCATCACAAAATTCATCATCTACTTCAATTACTTCTAATTCAAGTGCCATCACTAGTTTACAACCAAAACCTCATCAAACAAAATTAGCAACTATTCCAAATCCAGACATTTCTGTAGGAAGACGTATAATACTTCCAACCAAAAACAATGCACCTGGAGCTATACAATTTTTGGGGGAAACAGAATTTGCTAAGGGTATATGGGTTGGAATAGTATTAGACAATCCTGGTAAGAAAGAAATGTATTATTAAAAATCATAAATTTATAAAAAAAATTTTTATTAATCAAATTTTCTTCTTCTTTAGTGGGTAAAAATAATGGCGTAGTAGCAAATACTAAATATTTTACGGCAGGCCCTAATCATGGAATATTTGTTAGACCAGATTCACTATTATTGATATAAATTTACGAGTAATTAACAGTTAATTAAAGAGTAAACTAATGTGCCCAAAAAAGATTCATGTAATTATTACGAACGTTTATTTTAATGCATACACTCCTTCGAAATTATCTATCTATACATACAATACAGATTTATTATTTTTTTTTAAAAAAAAGTTTACCTACCATTATATATTCTTTCAATTTTATACTTCAATTTTAATCAATATTATATTTTCCTTAGATAGATATATATATATTTTTTTTTCTGTTATATAATTATTTTTTTTAAAAAAAGTTATTACATTATTTATTTTATTTTATCACTTACTAATCACTTTTTTGTATTATACAGAATTTTTTGTTGTTAAATTTATCAAATTTTATCAATATCTCATTTATTTTCACTCAAAAAAAGGATGGTTGATTGAGATGAAAAAATATGAGAACAATGGGAAAAATAAACAAGGCCAACAATTATAAAATATAGTTTCTGAAACCTTTTAAAATGATCACGTGATTAAGCAATAATGTTATAGATTAATTTATCATTTGATTCCAAAAGATCCAAAATAATCAAATAAAAGTATAATTAATGAATTCAATTCATCCAATTATGTTAAAATATAAGTAAATATAAATTACCATGATTTACGCTAACCTTCCAACAATAATGTAAATTAAATTATTTATTCTTGTTTATAAAATACCAGGAGAAAGACCAGGAGCCGCTGAAGATAATTTTGATAAATCTTTATCTGGAGTTGCTATAGCATAAGATCTCATACGAGCCTCTAATTCTGGTCTAAAATGACGGATTAACCCTTGGACTGGCCAAGCAGCAGCATCACCAAGAGCTAGTAATACAAACAAACGTATTGAATCAATTAATCAAAGTTCTACTCGTATCGATACAATTTTGACACGATACAAATGTTAATAAACGTACCACAAATAGTATGACCCTCAATTTGTTTGGTTAATTCTTCGATCATATCAATCTCTCTAGGAACAGCATACCCTTTTTCGAAACGTGACATCATATTCATAAGCCAGCCTGTCCCTTCTCTGCACGGTGTGCATTGACCACAACTTTCGTGTTTATAAAAAGCAGATAACCGAGAAATTGCTGATACTATATCAGTGGATTTATCCATAACTATGACAGCAGCTGTACCTAACCCAGATTTAACATCACGTAATGCATCAAAATCCATTCTAATAATGGAAATTATTTTTGTTAATGAGGAAATTTATATACGTCGTAAACTACTACTATATTATTAAGTTACAAGTATGCTTACAAAACGTCATCGCAAATACTTTTTGGTAAAACGGGAACGGATGAACCTCCAGGTATAATAGCAAGAAGATTATCCCATCCGCCACGTACTCCACCGCAGTGACGTTCGATCAGTTCTTTAAGAGGAATACTCATTTCCTCTGACAAATTTTTTTTTTTTATAAAAGATAATATTAAAGTTAGCAATTTTTTGTGAGCGGCCTATTAGAAACATAACTGTGGTACTTTTATAATTACCCTCAACAGTGCAAGGGTGATTCACGTGACCAGAGATACAAAAGAGCTTGGTTCCACTGTTCTTTTCACGACCAAAGCTGGCGAACCATTTGCCACCTCTGTTAATCAAATAAAGCAATGTTAAAACCGTCAATAATCGAAACTTTATAAATATCACACATTGAATTTTGATATTACCGTCTACAAATAGTAGGTGCCACCGCCACAGTTTCCACATTGGCTACTGTAGTTGGGCAACCGAATAAACCTACATCAGCAGGGAATGGTGGTTTTAACCTGGGTTTGCCTTGTTTTCCCTCAAGGGATTCGATCAAGGCAGTTTCTTCTCCACAAATATAAGCCCCGGCACCACGGTGAATATATACATCAAAATCGTAGCCAGATCCACAAGCATTCTTGCCAATAAATCCAGCTACATTATATGACAGAAATATTACGTTAAAATAATATATTAAATATGAATTCATGATAAATTAGGACCAACCTGCATAAGACTCATTAATTGCTTCTTGTAAATTAGAGGCTTCGTTATAGAATTCACCTCTAATATATATGTATGCTATTAAAAATGACAATGACGATGATTTAATTTTTTTTTTTTTAAGAAATTCTTCAAATATTATTACAATAAATTAAATTCAGTACCTGCTGTTGCATTCATTGATTTACCGGCAACTAGACAACCTTCAATCAATTTATGAGGATCACCTCGCATAATCTCCCGATCCTTGCATGTACCTGGCTCTCCTTCATCAGCATTAATAACCAAATATTTCGGTCTATAAATTCAAAAAGTAAAATAATTTGAATGATCGATTAAAATCATAAAAACTTTTGAAAAAAAAAAAAAAAAAAAATGGTTTACCTGCCATCCGGAGGTTTATTCATAAAACTCCATTTTAGACCAGATGGAAAACCGGCACCACCACGACCTCTTAAACCCGAGGATTTGATTTCCTGTAAAATAAATTCATGACCTTTCTCAAGTATCTCTTTCGTTTTATACCAATCTCCACGCTTTAGTGCTCCTTTTAGTCTAAAATCATGACGTGAATATAAATTTGTAAAAATACGATCTTGGTCTTTTAGACCCCCATAAGTACGACTAACAGGTTGTGAGTTTTGAATGGTGGCAAAGTTTGAAAGACCCTTAAAGTTCGTAATTCGAGCTATTGTAGGTCGAAGACAAGCTGTTTGGAACGCTAAACAAATTTTCAGGTATTGATTTTAATATATTAAATGTTACTCAGAAGATTAAATAGATCTCGGAATAAGAGAACACTAAAGTATGTACTTTTATTTATGAGACACCTTTTCAACATTTTTAAATGTTCGTTTATAATGGAAAAGACAATTAAAAATGGAATCAGTTTGTATACAACTGTAATTAGATCAACATAAACAGAATTAAAAATTTTGAATTGACAGCATATGATTCAATCACGTGAATAATGACAATGTGTATTTTTTAATAAATTAACAAAACATTTAAATTAATTAATAAGAATCTAATTTTTAATTTGTCAAAAATCTAATTTGTTCTTTGAAATATTAAAGATTAGATTTTATGAATTAAATTACAAAGAAATAAATATAACCTAATTTACAACAATTTTACATGCAATTTGTTCAAAAAATATAAGGTCATGATAAAGTCAAACAAGCTTGTCCGACTACAAGTGTTCCGGGTGGAGTGTGTCCTACTCTCTCCATTATGTCAGAAATCGTACTCAAAGTTCCTCTTATTTCTCTTTGATCCGTGCAACTCGCTCTTTCTATAACGACACAAGGACAATCAGAAGGATAATTGCCTTCATTTATAAGTACTTTTGTTATGTCTTTAATTCTATGACAAGCCATTAAAAATACTGTTGTACGAGCTGGATGATAAGTTGGAATTTCTGGTAAAGTATTATTTTTACCGGTACCCGTACAAACAAGGAATTGTGATGCGACTCCACGATGTGTAACAGGAATATTTGCTAATAAGGGAGCAGACATACAAGAGGAAATACCGGGAATTACTTGTGGGATATAACCATGAGATCGGAAAAATAGAAATTCTTCTCCACCCCGACCAAATAAAAATGGATCTATGAAAAATAAGAAAACTTATTAATTTTTTTTTGAAAAATTTATTATTTATTTTTTGTAATTTATATATAAATTTGTTATCTACTAACCACCCTGTTTTAATCTGACGACGACTTTTCCTTGTTTTAAAGCCTCAAGGGCTACTCGATTAAGTTCAGCTTGAGCGGCTTCAACGTTAGCACAAAATTTCTTCGCGGCGACAAAAACTTCAGTATTATGTGGAATTAATTTTAACACTTCTTTAGGTACAAGTTTGTCAGATAATATTAAATCGGCATCTTGAATTGCTTGGTACGCAGCTAGCGTCAACAAATTTGGATCACCAGGTCCGGCACCAACAAGTTTCATCTTTCCACCATTATTATTCATGTGTGATCTGTGTTTATCAGAACATCTAGTCACGTGATTTTGATATTGTGGATTATTAATCACCTTATGCATAAGATGATCTTTTAAGAATTCTGCTAATTCGCTCAATTTTAATTCTTCTGCAGCGTTGAGAATATTAATAATGTCATTGCTAGTAGCAGTCTCGGTAGAAATTCTACCAGTGTACATATATCTGAAAGCACATTGAAAAAAAGGTTAGATAAAGTTTCCGCAACAAAAAAAAAAAAAAAAAAAAAATTATTATAAGCTTACTTTAATATTACTTCAAATACAGGAGGAGAAATATTTGGCTCTTCTAAATAAATCAAATCTCCATTTTTCATAAACATATTCTTTTTAAAAATATTTTTAAAATATGGAGAAACAGCTTTCAAAATAATAGAATGTGCTTTAAAACATTTTATCCCCGTTGATGATTCATCACCAACACGAATAATCGTATTAAATTCATCATCGTCAAGTAATTGTTCGATTTTTAAAGAAAATTGAGATAATAACTTATTAGTTGTCATGATGATTATTTAATCGTTGAAGATTTAAAAAAATATTTTTTGTTGAGTGCAAGAAGAAAAGAAAATATTATGGTGAGGGTTGACTTTCGGTCCTTTTAAAGTGTAATTTATAACTTTACCCCCTTATGGATAAACATCGGAATATGATAAACTTTGAGTGATTATCGTTTTCATTTCGTGTAATTCCGTTATCATTATCAGGATTCATTTTTTTTTACATAATCTATCAAGTGTTTATTGTTTTATTTTATTCAATCGACATCTGATAGACAATGTTTTGCTTAACTAATAGAACAAATAAATAAGTGAATACCATAAAAAGAAAAAGAATTTAATAACGGCTGAATTATCTTATCTACTTTTACGTCTTATCAGATCGATTTGCTGCAAAGATAATAAGATAATGTACTAAAAAAAAAAGACAATTACGATAAGACGATTGTAAAAAAAAAAAAAATGATGGATAATGAAAAAAAAATTGTTTCTATAAAAAATATTCGGAAAATCAAATGTTTTTGGAAAATCTATCTTCTCTCGATTGGACCAATCATAGACGATTACATAGTGTGACCAATCATTTTTAGCATTCACCACTTTGCTTTTTTTTTTTATTCACAATTTTTCTTCATATGTTAAATCATGGCAAAAGACAAGGATATTTCAAAAAAAATTGAACAATATGAAAATTTTCTTCATAATAAACTTGAGGTAGATTTAAAACAAACATGGGAATTACGAGATAAAATTTATGAAGAAATTTCCGACTAGTAATATTTCTCGATTCTTAATTAAATATTTTCATTGCTCTTCTAAAATATAAACTTTTTTTATTCATTTGTAATATAAATTGATTTTCTTTTGCATCATTAAGCATTAAATTAAAAAATCATATTGAATTAATAAAATCAAATAATCTAAAAGAATTAAAGACAATGGTTGATTTAGGATCGAACTTTTATTGCCAAGCTAAAGTGTAAGTAGTGTAAAGTGTAATTGATATTCTGCTTTTACCTTTAAATCTTTTAATACTTTCTGATTTTGTACATTTGTAGACCTGATACGACATATATTTATGTTAATATAGGATTTGGATTTCATGTACAATTGACATTAGATGAGGCTATCGGATTTATCGAGAAAAAAGAAAAATTATTACAAAAGTAAATAAGTATTGTGTGACATGATTTCTTTTTTTTAAGGGGGTCTAATTAATTTAAATATTTGTTTTCATTCAATTAGGAAATCTGATCAGTATACCCGAGACATTGCAAAAATAAATGCACACATTAAATTGGTATACGAAGCTTTAAAAGAAATTTTAAATTTACAGAAAGGCGAAGAAACTACATTGAGAGATGATTTATATTTTTAAGGTAAATGCTACCGGTTAATCTTCAGATTAACCGATAAGTATATATTCAGATTAATTGTTACAATAAAAGTCATTATTAATGAGCTTTCTTTCCCAAAATAAATCATTTCCGCAGAAGTTTTCTTGTTCTGTATTAGATTGACTCGAATTAATTCTCGTTGATAACAAAAAACCTGATTTTTTTTTAAATTCACATGCGTGGGCTTTTTTTTTCTTTCAAAAAAAAAAAAAAAAAATGTTGTCCACTTATAAACATGTATAATCTCTATTATTATATAATACAAGTTTCTAAAAAAAAAATAAAAAAAAAAATTCTCAGTTTTTTAAATTGTTTATCAATCATGAGCCAAAGAAATAATAATCGAAATCGTAATCGTAGCTCAAATTCTACGAGAGAATCTTTATCACACCCATATTGGCATGCGGCAGCATATTATTTTATGGAAGCATTACGTGTTTCCACATCGACATCAACGTCGGCACCTCAAATATTATTGCCATTTTTCCCTTCACCTGCTGCCTTCTCACCAAATTCACCAAATTCATCATCTCCTATACAACCGACACCTCAAAATCCATATCATCGTAATAATACAATAAATAATCTTGCTAGTATTTTTAGAACCGTCGCTTTGGATTATGAGAATGTGGAATCACATACGTTAAATTCGTTATCTTCTACATCAATACGCCAAACGTTATTTAATTCGACTCATCAAAATACCGCCGATAATCAATCATCTAATGATAGAAATCAAGTTATCTCTGCTTCGCACGGCGCGTCAATTCATCCTTCTGCATCTCCTAATTTTACTCTAGATTCATTTCCATATACGTTATCAACATTGGAAAGGTATGAGATCCAAATTCGTTTACAAGGTAAAGTTACACCGACGAATATAATCTCATCACGACTATTGAAAAATTTGATCATAAATTGTAAGGATGATCATAAATCAAGTATAAATTCTCAAGGTAACATCTATTGTAAAAAAGGGAATAACGTCTATCATTATCATAACTTGAGTAATGCTAGCTTTTACTCTAAAAGGGAAGATGGTTCTTCTATTTATGTTGACCGATTTGGTGATATTACTTATAAAACTAAAGAACAAGAAAGATTTGATCGTGTCGGTATTAATGGTTTAATCTATCTATAAAGGGAAAGTGCATGCTTTGTTAAATTCGATTTTCATGTTATATTTTATATACATATATATTATATCTTCCAGTAAATTTAATAAATTTGGTCAAAGATTAATGCCTAGGATTGTCATTCGCGTCATGTATTTGCCGCAGTATCGCGTCTTTGAACAATTCGATTGTAACTTTGGTCAGGATTAACCTTCTATATCCACGTGATCATGCTTTATTGTGGACAAATCACGTGATTGAATTGTGTAAACCATTTTTAATGCAAGTAATAATTCTAAATTTAAGTTTTCAAATTAACCAAATAAACGGTTGATTAAAAAAAATTCTTACACATTTCATGTTTTAAAAAAGCACCTCTTCGCGAATTTTTATTCTTTTTTGAATAATAAAAAATAAAATAAAATATCGTATGTATTTTTTAACAACATTTAGCTTTTCATTGGAAGATTAAACAATCATTGGTACAAAGTTATGATGCGTTAACAATATCTTTTTTTTACACTTTAACCTATTTCCTTCTAGAAGTGAAACGAAGTAATAGGTTGTGATAATAATAATGACTATAATGTCCAGTATCAGCACGATGATCACCAGCAACGCCAGCAGGGTGCAATACGTCGTAAAAGGGAATTGTCATATAAAAAAATTAACCAATCTCTCTGGACTACGAAGCATTCTTTGGTCTAAAGTTAGAGAATTCATTGAACAGATACACCCAAGGATAATTGTCTTTAGAACCTTCATAAAAAGATATTATATGAAGGGATTAGTCAAGTTGATTGTAGGGGTTTGTGGCGAACAATCTACCTCATCTATAATGATTTACCACCACAATCATGCGAGTTTGTTCTTAACCAGTTACAGTTTTGCAGATGAGCAAATTTGTCTGCTTATTTATTATAAATTCCTTTCCGATTTACTTTTTAAAAATTTCTTCTTAACTTGTGATGTTCTTTTTACTTTTAGCTATGTTTACTCTTAACCAGTTTAAGGTCTTAATAATAGAAAATTTGTCTGCTTATTTATTATAAAATTCTCTTCTGATCAAAATATTTTACTAAATAATACTTGAATAATGCTCAGCAAGAACAAAGTTATTCTTTACAATCTAGTCTTAATACAGAAGTTCATAATACACAAATTCATAATCATCCGAATCTAATTAATAATTCTCGTCCAACTAAACGTACTAAACAAATAACCCATAAAGAAGAAATAACATTTTTGGAACCATTAGTAAATAATATGAGTGAAGAAAATATAAATGATGTTATTCAACAATTAAATAATTGGAATATAGAAAATAATCATACTGAAAATGCGTGGGATAAAAAGCGTGTAATGAAATGGGTAAATACACGAACCCGTAATATCCAGTTGGCAAAAGAGAAACAAGCCCAGGCATTGCTAGAATAAGTCTAAAATATTTAAACATAAATATTTAGTGTTGTATTTAAAAAAAAAAAATTATAAACTTTATATAAAGATTCCATACTTTAATAAAGAAATTTCACTTTTTTAACCATTTCTCAACAATGTACATATAAATTCCAAACCAAATTTAACAATAATATTCCTATATTGACTCTGAACTCTTCACGTAAAAAACTTTTGAAAAGAATCAATATTGGCAGAAGGATCTCAGTTTAAAAGTCAAAAAGTCATAGAAAAACCTTATATATTAAAATGTTCAAGGAAGCAATATATTATAATAAAATTAATGTTTTTTGAATCTTTATAGGTCACACCTTTAGCGTATTATAAACAATCGCTAATTTACGTAGTACAAGATTTTTCAATTAGTGATCGGCGCTGGGTGTGACATGTCCATCAAACTGGACGTGATTTTCCTATTATTTTGATATTGTCAGAAGAAACTTCGACATACCGATTACTGGTAGAAAAGTGGGGAGTGAAATCGATTCAAATCGCTCATCACGCCGTGCTTTAGGTATATGGTTGGATATTTTAATCCAAAATTTAAAGCCAAAAACGAAGGAAAGCGGAAAGTATTAGCGGTAAAACGTAAGGTTAGTGTTCTTAGAAACGTTAACGAGCATCGTTAACGAGCATAGTGAGTATGCTACGCCCTGTCTTTGCGTACACGGGGAAGAGCGTCCAGTCACAGTAGTGCAGAGTCGGGCATTTCTTACTATGAGGCTCGTTAACGATGTTAGTGAGTATGCTACGCCCTGTCTTTGCGTACACGGGGAAGAGCGTCCAGTCACATTAGTGCCGAGTCGGGCATATCTTACTATGATTAAGGTCTGCCGATTTATGAGGAAGTAAACGGCTATGTACTTTCCTTAATATTACTCACACATCTCTCTCTCACTAAAGAAAATATAGAGCAACCTGGTAAAGTATTACTATCATCATAGCGGGAATACTTATCTCTAAGGTTTTTTTTTTTTTTTTTCTGAGGCGTGCGATAACTTTATTTTATTTTTTCTTTTCTTACGTCATTTTCTCTTTTTTTTTTTTTTAACTTTTTAAACTAAAGGTACAAGTGATTTACAACCGCCATCAGTGTCACGAATTATCCCAACAAAAAGAGTGCTAGATATAGAAGAGTTACCTCTTGATTCTTCAAATTTTTTTTTTGCTATTTATTCTATTTCAAGTTTTAAAGAATTGAGAATACTGAATCTTTATTGGGAAAATCCTTATTCAAGACCGCTACTCAGCGAATTGTTGGAAACATCTTACGGTATCATTGAAGAAAAATTTCAACTAATTGATTTTAATGACACTGACAATCAAAACACAGAGTTGATGAAATCATTTCTTTCTACTTTGGAGGGTTGACCTTTGCAAAAGATCACAATATCTCTGCATACCAAATGGCATTACCATGAAATCTATCATGCAATATTTTAATAATTTTTTTTTAAGGTAACTAATTACTTTCCGTAATTCCAAATTAAAATTATTTTATCTTAAATTTATTTTATAGATAAATCACAATGCGTGAAATTCGAGTTGTTTATATTAAAAAGATAAAAAATCTTTAGAAGAAGAGAAAGTAGAAGCAACGACGCAATTAGATTCGGAACAACGTCACGTTCAATAAACGAAGGACACGATGATAAACATTTATCGAAATCACTAGAAGAATATCCTTCTTCATATTATTTAAAAGAAGGGACATCAACAGCTCAGATGTCTATCGCAACATTTCAAATGAATTCAACATCCGAAAAAGAATTATTAGAAAAATTTGGATAGTTCGCCAACCGAATACAGAAGTAATTGGTGTCGATCATACATTTTCGTTCTCAATTTGATGTTTGTTAAATTGAAACGATAAGAGATGCTCAATTATCTGCAAGTAATAGTAAATATGTGTTGGAATGGATATCCTTTAATAATTTAGAGATGTAAAATACGTATCGAAAGTACATTATATTTCTTATTGGTTGGATGGTATATTTTTAAGGTGGGATAAGGATAAGGAGCTCGAATAGTGATCAACGGCACGGATCAGATACGGTTACACTTAAACGATTGCATAATTATCACTATGGGGTTTCTCAACCAAGTATGCCATCTCTTCGTCTTCTTCTTTTTATTATTTAGATTGTAAAGATACATTTACAGTTGTAACTTCGTTCAGTATTATGGAATTACACAATCTTCAGAAATAGATGATTATTTAATCGTAATGGAATGTGCTGTTCAAGGAAGTATTAGATTATACCTGAATGGAAGATTCAACACAATGAGTTGGTATGGAAAGATGAATATACTCACAAACATAACACGTGGATTAGAGTGGATGCATGAAATCAGGTTATATACATCCTAACCTTCATGTGGGGAACAGGAACAGAAGAAACCATTATGACAAACATTGTATTAAAAAAAAAAAAATAACATTAAATTTACTTTATTATTAAGGGATAAAGTGAAGTTTTACCTTATTCGGCACCCGAAGTATTATACACCAAAATATTTTCCAAAGCAAGTGACATTTATACTTTTGGTGTAATGATGAATGAGATTATATCAGGATCACCGCCTTTTATTAATGTTGCTCATGATAATCAGTTGACCGCTGAAATATGTCGAGGTACAAGACCAGGAATTCCGGTGCATACTCTGTGATTATTGGCAGAATTAATTTAAAGGTGTTGGGAAATGAAGTCTATTAACAGAGCTTAAATGAATTATTCTCAATGGTGGAATTATTTACAAAACGATCAATTATCAGAAATTAATGCACAGTGTAAATCTTGTGATGAGATGTTTAGAAACTCTTATACTTTCACTCCTACTCCGCTTCTTTATGTTAGTCGTCTTGAAGCTGTTTATCATAGTAGATTATTGAAATTTGATGATATGCTTAGAATCCTTAATACTGACGGAAGGTTCAAGCTGCAAAATTCTTATTTAGGTAAATAAATATCATAGTTTGCTTTTTTTTGATGCCAATTATATCGATTTACTTTCATCTTGTAGAATATTGTCAAAACTGACGGTCTTTTCTTACGTAAATGATCTCATTTCGTTAGCCCGGATTGTCCCGGCATAAGAAAGATATAGAGGTATAAGAGTTACCTCTTGATTTGACAAAGAAACAAAAATTCTGTTTGCTGTAGATTCCGTCTCAGATTTTAAAGAATTGAGAACACTGAATCTTTTCTATGCTGACAAGACCATGTATATCGAAAGAATTGAGAACAATAGATTTGTCCTAATGTTCTTGCGACCAAAACGATTCGGCAAATCACTGTTATTGTCCACACTTAAATATTTCTACGATATTAACGAAGCGCCATATTTCCGGTCATTATTTGGATCGCTCGATATATGCAAGCATGCGTCAGAGCTGTCACACAACAAGTTCCTTATCCTTAAGTGGGATTTTTCTAAGATTCAAAGGTGTGTCTTATCAAATATACTTAATGATGGTTTTATGCGTCTTATTGTATTCGCCTACTAACATAAATGAATAACTTATATTATTGTTAAAAGTTCTTCAAATTTAGAAGAAATGAACAAAAATCTCAAAGACCACATCAATATGTCGATTGAGAAGTTTTGTGATGATTACGCCCGTTGCTGAACAAAAAAAAGAGATTATCTGCAAGAAAGAGTTATTAATTCAGATAATTGCATTAATTATTTGGTTGTAATTCTGAGGCAGTGTCAATAACGTCATCAAAATCACTAGAAGAATATCCTTCTTCATATTACTTTAAGAAGGACATCAACAGCTCAAATGTCTACCGCAACATTTCAAATGAATTCAACATCTGAAAAAGATTATTAGAAAATTTTGGACAATGTACAACTGAATACAGAAGTAATTGGTGTTGATCATATAGCTCGGTACATTTTCGTTCTCAATTTGATGATTGGTCAAGTGGAAACGAAAATGTTTATAAGATAAGAGATGCGCGTTTATCGGCAATTGTTAGTAAATGCGTTGAAATGGATACCCTTTAATAATTTTGAGATGTAAATACGTGTCGAAAGTACGTTATATTGCTTAATGATTGGTTGGATATATTTTAAGGTGGATAAGAAGCTCGAACAGTGGCAACGGCACGGAACCGATATGGTTGCACTTAAACGATTGCATAATTATCACTATGGGATTTCTCAATCAAGTATGCCATCTCCAATCTTTGAATATCGAATAGTTATGCTTTATCGTTATACAACAATTAACCATTTCTTATTATTCTTATTTAGATTGTAAAGATACATTTACAGTTGCATGATAATAGTAACATCGTTCAGTATAATGGAATTACACAATATGATTATATGATCGTAATGGAATGTGCGGTTCAAGGAAGTATTAGATCATACCTGAATGGAAGATTCAACACAATGAATTGGTACAATTGGTGTGGAAAGATGAATATACCTCAAGCATAACACGAGGACGAGGATTACAGTGGACAATTCTAACCTTCATATGAGAAATATATTAAGGACAATATTAACGATTAAAGAAGAAATTTATGGAGCGTTGCCTTATTTAGCACCCGAAGTATTACACTCCAATAGATATTCCAAAGCAAGTGATATTTATGCTTTTGGTATAATGATATATCAGGATTACCGCATTTAAATGATTTTTCTCATGATAGTTAGCCGCTAAAATATGTCGAGAGACAAGTCCAGAAATTCCGGTGCATACCGGTGCATATTCCGAGATCATTGGTAGAATAATTATAGTAATAGGTGTTGGGAAACGAATGGAGTATCAAAGATGTTCATTTCTTTGTTCATTCAATTATTGGTTATATTCTTAAAAAATAATTTTAGTAATGACTTAGAAAATTTTATATTAGTATTGTAAGTGTTTGTATTATACTGTATATTATTATATATACTTTTAAAACTTTTAAAATTATAGTTGTTTTGAATTTTAATCAAAGGCAACTTTGTTGATTTTTAAAAATCTTTTTAAATGCTTATTAAACAATAAATTTTTACTTAATAATACAAAGAGTGCTAATGCACTGTTTATGGATGAAATTTTAATAATTATTAATCATAAATATTAAATGATTTAACACCAGAATGATTATTATATAAGATTTACTTTTATCCCTTAAACTGTAAAGCAGACAAATTTGTCTGCGAACATAAAAAAAAAGTATTAATTTTTTAATAAAAAATAAAATATTAATATTAATAATATAATTATTATATAAA